CACACCAGTCACGTGACCTCGATGACGCAACAATATAAATTAATTTCTCTTGGGTATGTCTGAATTTAACAAAAACAAAAACTTTTTGATGTGAAGTGAAGAAAAATACCACTTTTCTGATATTATAGAAATAGGTAACTTATTGGTTTAAAAATTGCAAGTTGTGCTAAACTACAATCATATTTTGTATTCAAATCATCATTCATATTTATGTAAAAAATAGCTTTAACAATTTAAAACATCTAAACTTAATATGTACAGTCATTTTTATCGTTAGTAATGTACACCAGCACTGACTAAGAGAAAGTTTATTGTGAAACAACTAACTGTAACCAAAATGTACAATTGGGTTTCATGCATGTACCAATCCCTTCTTCTATCAAGGCTTTTATTTACTCTGCATGGTGTTATACCTTTTTAATTTAAAAAGGTATCATAAAATTAGTTTGAATATGTAACACAAGTTTTCAATCAAAACTAAATATGTCATGTATAATTTTGATATCATTGTAAGTCAGTAACTACTGAAGAATTTATTTTCATTGTATTTTGATTTCACCTTACATTGTTTGCCATTTAGATTGCACACAACAAAATGGTTACTATTTGTTGTTAAACAAAAGGGGAGGGGGAGCTATTTTTATGTCCTCCAAGATTCTTGTAAAGCTTTTGTCTTTGTTTTGACAATTAAAAAACATTGCAAACAGTTTCAACACACTAAAATTATACGCAAGCCAATTATCTTGAGTTTATAAACTGAAACTTTAAATTAATATACATAGTAAGTTTGAAAGTTTAAACCAGTGTTGTGTTCATTTACATATCTCTTTAAGTTTCAGTGCTTTTCTCGCTCATGAAAGTACTTAGCCTGACAGTCTAATATAAGAACATCGACTAATAAACAGCGGCCTTTTATATGTTTGAGTGCAAAGTGATCTTTTCTCACGAAAAACATTTATTTTCCTACCATACTGCAAAGTATAAAATAATAAAGCAATTTTTTGCAAGCTTTAAAAATTCAGGCAGTAATTGTAATGGAAGTTTGTAACCTGTGATTCTGGAGTCGAGAATTTTAAAGTTTCCTAGGCGTGTGGGGTGATTGTCAATCTTACTGTGCAATCCGATACAAGAGTAACTAACAAAAGTCGGATGGATTAGTTGGCGTATATTTGCTTCCAGCTGGAGTCCAGACTTGGCCGTATTTGTAGGTGGCATGTAGTTTTACTTTGATAATTTTTATTCAAATTGCAAGAAGGGGCAGTGTTGTAAGTTATTCTTTTTATGCTGTAATTTGTTTAGCTAAATGGAGCTACAGGTTGTAATAATGATCCTGAGACCTAACGAAATATCTAGAAGAAGGTTTAGTTATAAATACAAGTGGCAAACAGTGAATGAAATAGAGCTCTTATATGGTACAAATTATTTCCAGTTAAAAAACTTACAAGGTATTTTGAAACATTATACGTAGGAGAATTAATAAAGCTAATGATAGGCCGTGATGGCATATTTGCCTTCTTGATTTTTGGAAGGCGATATACAGGAGCTATCAATTTAAAACGAAAATAAAGTTTGTCTGAAATAGTTTTCCTTTTAAATCTAAACTTTAGCTATTTGTTTTTCTTTGCAAAACCAAAATGATATTCTTGGTTCTTTCTCTCTCTCTCTGTAGACAGTGAAATCATTTACTAAGTTATTTAATTTCATATCATATTTTTCTTAAAATCATGACTTCTCGTTTGTGAGGATATGTTAAAGTACTTATATTTCTTTAGTTTATTAATAAGGGCTTGATTTTCTTGTTTAGTCAAGCATGGGGTAGGGGATAGTAAAAACAGAGGTAGCTTGTAATAGCTTCATGTCCAGTTTCAATTCTGTTCTAAGAATGATGCATTGATTTGCTTTAAACTGCATTCAATAGAAACTCATTACTAGTTTCTTCAGAAAAAAGTATTTGTTTGTTTGTTTTTAATTATGCACAATATTACACACGGGCTATCTGTGCTCTGCCCACCACGGATATCGAAACCCGGTTTCTAGCGTTGTAAGTCCACAGACATACCGGGGGGGGAGTAATATAATGTCCTTACATATTAATAAATATGTTAATAAAAGTAGTACATTATATTATTGGTTATATTTTCACGTGTCTTATTCTACGATACAATTACTGCGACTATTCCTTACTTTATAACTAGAAATTGATTTATTAAATTATATCAATGTAACGACACAGTGCGCACACGTGCAATTATACAGATAAAAACGAAACTAAGACATCAGTGGCAGTAAAGCTTGTACGAATGTCATTTTGTCAGCTGCTTTCTGAAATTGGTCTTGTTAGTTATTTATTGAAATATATATTTAACACGTCATTTGGATACTTGCTTAGAATTTAGAAACTGGAGTTTATTTTGGCTTTAAAAACGAAATAATTAATATAGTTGAGCGACAGAAAGAATATAAAGTGACGAACTCGTTATATATTTATACATATTACCTCGTTATTTATAAAAGTAATATTACAGTAACGAATTACTTAAATAACACGTTAATCCAACTCTGAAGATATGTGGCCAATAATTTCACTATCATTGAAAAAAATCTCGGTTGAGACATTCTGTTATACTTATAGCTGAAAAGAGAACATCAAGGAAACCTATCATTCTCGGACACTATGGTAAACTGATAACGGATAAGTACAATCATATGTAGGAAACCCAAGAATGTAGACAATTATCTTGATTTTAATTCCAAACCCCATTTCTCGTAAAGCTACAATTGTTAATACTTATACTTGTATGTAAATTACAAGCAATAACCTCATTTTGAGAACTTTTTTATATGCTTTGTGTTTCATTCAAGCATTCAATCTTAAGAAACATTTACAAATATAAGACATATTTAATCTGTTGCAAGTACAAGTTTTTATTCATAGTAAACACAAAATATATCATTGAAACTCTGTTGGGATGAGGGGCGTTGGCTGATGCGATGATTGATGTGCTTAACAAACCGCAGAGTTTCATGGTCTCGGTACACCAGTGCCAAGGAATTAGACTGAGGATAGACTGTCAGAAGCTGAAACCACACAAAAAAAGCAATATGAAATTAATAAAAATAATTCAAATTCTCTCTTGCTGTTCCAAACAATACTAAGTTTGTTTTAATAATATTTGGTAATAAATGTAAAAATATTAAAATTATCCATATTTCTTTAAAGTTTCTTAATTCGGTAAGTGATAACATTAATTGGTGTTAAAATAAATAATAATATTGTGTTATAAAAGCTTTAACTTTATTCTAATTTATAAATGTCTCCTATTAAACTGATAAACATTACACTTCACAAACTTAATCTAATTCACACATTAACAGCTGTTATTAATGCAATTTGATAATATAAATAGCTTCTCAACCACTTTATGTGTTGTATGGGACAAAAGATCTAAGCTTACATTGACTGGGGCTTGCAAGACATTATTGGGTTCATGACCCAAAATATTTTTAAGAGCGAGATGAAACATAAGAAAAGTATACCTAATTAGCTATACTGGTGGCCAGATTTATTTTTTGTTTCACTCTAAATACATAGCTTACTCTGATCGGCAATTATTATTATTCTTTACTTCCACTTATGAGTTCTAAGAATAGCAAGTAAATTTTAAGAGATTTATATACTTGTTTCTACTGCCTTATGACAAAGCTATACGATGTGTCTTTTTGTGTGAATTTTAAAAATAAAGAAAAACAAATGTAGCTCATACATATTCTATTCAAGAAGAATTGAAATTTTCATGGCATAAAGACTGCTGTACATTGTGCCATAATGATATTAATAGTGTTCTTGCTGGTCAATAATTGCTTGGGTATTATGATCTAATTACTTGTTAATTTTGCCTTGATAGTAATTCCTATTCCTTTAGTTATAGTTTTAATTTTATTTTTTTTGTGTGTGTCTGAGATCAATTATAAACATGAGCATTAGAAACAGAATCAGATACTCCATGTATTTTCTCACCTCTTCATCTTCTCCTTTGGCAATATAAGATATAAAGCCACCATATTCACTTTTCCACTCTACAAAGGAAAACAAAGGAAGGCATAGTTTAACAGTAATATTCTTACCATCTCCCTTTTTATATCTTTGAACAAGCTACAGGTATTAAAATAATTTTTACTTTC